AGGTCGCTCTCCTGTTCGTGCGATTGAATTACTCGCAGCACTCTCACAGGTCTTTCTCTTCAGGCTGGCACAGCTTGTCACGCAGCAGATTGACTTCTGTGCAAAATCCTTGAAGCTACGACACGCTTCAGGGAACTGAGAAACTAGGCACAACTCCTCCCGAGATGCCTTGGCAGTGCTCTGCCACGGTGCGCAGGGCCTCTTGCATTTGCATCTCTGCAATGTCAGAGCAAGCGACATCGTGAGGTTTGCAAAGAAGGCTACGAAGGCTCGTGGCATCGACGCCCGCGAAGGCCAAACTGTTACATTGCCCTCGCATCGGCCGTCGGCCGTGTGAGCGCCTCCGTGAGCGGTGTGCTGCCTCGAGCAGGCTGGGTGAAAGCGCCGAGCACTCGCGGATCCTGTGAGCTCCTCGGTTGTCGCGTGAATGCAACTTGGGGCGAAGAAACCCACGGAGCGGAGCCCAATGCAACCGAAGATCTTCACTCCTCAGCTGCAGCACCAGAGCTTCCCCAACGAAAAGAATCCACAGCAGAAACGCATAGAAACACCTTAGACCTCGCGAACCTTCGCAATATCACGCACCCACTCATCGAAGCCAGCTTCTTTCCTACACCGGAAGCACCAACAACTCTGGAAGAAATCACTGCAATTGACCGGGATGCCATCGATGAGACCACGGTTCAGGAAGAACAGGTCAAGGCCCGACCTTCATGTGACATCACAGAACTGATTGATAAGACTGCACAGGTATGCTAAGACAGTGGGCGGAAGCGTTTACTTTAGCACGAAGGGCGCGATGACACTGGCCGGATCCGCATGATACCCGCAAGCAGGCGCACACTGCCGTGAACCTCCCCAATCACCCAAACGCCCCCAGCGCCCTCGATACTTCTCACGTTAAGACCCCTGCTCGTCGAAACAAGCTGCCAGGTCTATCAGAAGCCTGAGTCATTGGGAGCGCTTCAGTGCGTGGCCTAGTGCCCAGGATGCGGATATTCGGGTCAAGCACGGCAAGGTAAGGCTGCCGGGATGTCGGGCACCGAGCTTTTGCTTTCGCATGGCTACACTGTGCGTGAGAACTTCAGAGACCAAGTTATTGTGAGTCTTGTGGCTTCAGCCGAGGGATTTGACACAGAAAGTATCTGCTTGTTGTTCTTCCGCTCAGAGGTAGTACAAGGCAGTACGAACACCTCATCAATGGGAACGCAAATCGCACCATACGTGCCTTACTCCGTGCCTTACTCAATGTTGCAAAAATCTGTCTAACGGCCATAGACCTGCCACGGAGGCTGCGGACAAAGCGCAGACAGACCTTGGGTCAGGCCGAGTCGCAGAGTGGATGACTTAAGCTCATCCCAGCGTGTTGCAGACTCCTCCACCGGAAAGAAGCTTGGAGAACAATGACTCTCACTTGAAAGTCACGAGCGTACTAGGGCGTGGCGGTGTAGCCACTTTGGGCGAAGGATCTTGCAACCTGCAAGCTACTGCATATACTTGCGGCATAGCCTTGAGCAGCCCCTACGCTGTCACGTAAGGCGCTTGCGCAAAAAATCCAGGCGCTGGCTGTAAAGCATGGGGTACGCAGCGGTACCATGGAGAATGCCCATCTAGGGAACGAGTTTGGAGTGATTCCTGCTGTGGCAACAGCCTTTGAATTGACTGCTCACGGAGTGACTCAACGTTGTCTCCTCTTTCTTGTCGCTGTCAAGTGCACACACCCTCAAGCACAGAAAACTCACACAGCCGCCCTCTGCTCTCGATGCTAATCAGGTGCTTTATTGCCTCGTAGAGCCGTCGTTGTGAAGGGGGCTTCGCAGAGTTGTTCATCGAGGCGGAATCGTCAAGGATGAGCACCTTCATTGACGGTAGTTTGTCTGCCTTTCGATGTCTGCACTCCAAAATAATGTACAAAAACGTAAACGCTACATTTACATACATTTACACCCTTCGTCCAAATATCTATAATCTTGTATTCTATGTAGGAGAAGGGCGAGGGAGAGGGAAGCACGGAAGGATGGAGGAAGGGAGGGAGACAGAGCGAGAGGGAAAGGAGAGACAGAGAGACAGGGACAGACAGACAAACAGACCGCCAGCCAGGCAGGTAGGCACACCGACCGACAGACAGACAGACAGACAGACAGACAGACGGACGGACGGACGGACAGAGACGTAGTTAAGCAGAAAATCCAGAAGGCAGAAACCCCTGCTTGTTTCACTGCGATTCAACATCGCCGTGCCCATGCTGCACAGTACAGTATGATACGCTTATATTGTAATCTTACAGGTTGTTCAGTCTGTGTCAGCGTTGTCGGCCGTCCGCGTTGAAAATGTTTATGTCCCAATGTCACCCATTATCATGCTCTGCACTTGGCATATCTTACTGCATACGACTGTATGTTTGCACGTGGACTCCCGTAGAACGACATACAGAAGGCAACATAAGACTATATCGAGAAGTACAGAACAACCTTCAGCTGCTTGTAGCACTGCCATGACTGATGCTTGTCAAAGCAGAGCGAGGGACAATCTCGTAGTCCTCCAGAACTGCCAGATCATTCGCATCTGCTATGGACACTTCGAAGCCTCAACAACTCGGCGGATGTGCAATGATGTCACAAGCCTCTATCGCACACTCTCTTTTGTAGGCATTCTGGCGGGATTGGCAGATTACACCTACAACTTGTTTCAGCTGCTATGTGAGATCTGCATCCCACCCTCGAGCTGATCCCTCCAAGAGGCTCTCCAGGATGCGCTGCAGCCGCTGCATGCGCTGCGCGCGTGGCATTGCACCAGCACCAGCCGGCGCTCGCAGTGCCGAAGGCATCCCAGCCGACATGCTGGGGTTCCTCGGAGCGACGCCGAAGCGACAGCCCGGCAAGCGGGCGCCAAGCATTGCTTTGGTTTTGCGTTTGGGCCGCGGACATGACGACGCTCTGGCCCAACGGGGCTCCGGAAGGCCTGAGTTTGGGTTGCATGCTCATTCACACATGCTGTTCTACGTCTAGATTATCGTCCTCCGTAAAGAACCGCTGCAGACGTACGTCGCATGCTGTTTCGCACTGGGGGGACTTGGACCATCGCTTAGTTCCGTCTCAGAACATAATGGGTCCTCGGCCCGGCAGCACGAACCGTGGGCAGCTTAAGAAGGGAAGTCTGAGGCCGAAGCATGGCAGGATGGCCAGGGCTATAGCCGCCGTAGCCCGCGCCGGAGGGCATGTTCCCCATGTTGCCCATGTTGTCCATGCTCCCCCCATTGCGGGGCGCTGCCCCGAGGCCGGCAGAGGCATAGGCCATGGCACCGCTCAGGACCCTCTGAGAGTCCCGTTGATTTCTCTGGAGGTGCGAGTAATTAAGGGAGAAACAAGATCGTTGGAATGTCGGAGAGCCAGCTTGGTTGAGGTCAAGGACATTCAAGGACTGCCGCGTTCAAGCATCATGACCTTGGTAAACGATGCCAGGCCCGCTGCTGGGGCCAGAATGGCTGGCGGCGGACTTTTCGGCTGACGAGCTCGGGAACGAAGGTCATTTAAATCTGGCACTTCGAACAAACGGGTCGGCATCGCCAAACACCCTGGAAGAACAGCGGCGACTGCCGCCAGCCTTGCAACAACAATTTGACAGTCAGTTGACAAAGCTTCACATCCAGCCGCAATGGCTTCAAAACGTACAGGCGTGTAGGATGTGCATCGGTAGGGTATGGGCAGGCCCACACAACTAGCCACCTGCGAACAACCATCTTTTGAGGCTATGCAAAGTCTCTTGAAGGCTGAGTGTTCAACCACAGTGATGCATGAGTATCGAGAGTACTCGGAGTATCGTGCGGAGCAGTGGCAATCGGCCAGGCCCACACAAACGCAGCCTTTGACCCCTGGCGGCTGCACCAGAATTACGCTCCAAACCTCAGCCTCACCACTTGCTAGGGGGCACTCCGGGTGTCCAGCGTCGCCAGGTGGCTGCCGGCCCTTGTGGCCGCCTTCGCGGCCACACGAAGGCCTCACTCCGGCCAAGGGCCAGGCGGGAGAAAAGCACAGCACAGCGATCCCCGCCGTCCGTCCCCGCCTGCCAGCGCTTGACCCAGGTCCGCGTCGCGCGCGGCGGTGGAGCCTTGGGGCGTCGGCGCAGCATGTATTGCAAAAGATTAATGAAGTCCTCTTGGAGCCTGGAGCTCAAGTTGGGCTTGTGGCTTGCGTCTGAGACGCGGACCTGTGCGGGAGTCATCCAGGGCATGACCGGCTAGCATCGGTCCGCTCTGGATGTCTCGATGGACACTGGAGTTTTAGGGTGTCGTGTGCCCTAGCGCTTCGACGGTCTATAAGGTGATGGTGGAGTTGGGACTTTGCGGGTAAGTGCGGGGAAGTGCGGGGCGGTGGGTGTCAGTGTTTGGAGAGCCCTGGGTGAAGCGTGTTCACTCTTGCAACCTGGGCACAAGCCCAAGATGCAAATGCGACCAGCGTGAGCTTATTCCTAATTCTCCGACTACGCCCCTTGCTCCTCTCAGAAGAAGTTTCGTTCAACGAAATGTCCTAGAATCCGTTGAAACATGCCCTCGGTGGCTACCCATGTCTTCCTTGCAGTGTCTGTGCTGTTGAGCCACGGAGAACAAAGCTCAAGATCTGTGAGACACCGATGCGTGGCAGGCCACCAAGGCTGGTGTATGCTGCGGATGTCCTGCGTCTGCACGCCTTGGGAAAGTCTTACAGTCTTACAAGAACTTCCTCCGGTTGTGATTCTGCCAGCATCCACTTGCAAGCCTAGAAGCCTGGAAAGGTCAGTCGAAGGAGCTACAAAAGGACGTGGTGGAAGGCGCAGCTTGCAAGAAGATTCGTGGCAGCATGCAGTACGTCTGTGTAGTCGCTCTCATTTACAAAAACCTTGCGACCTTGCGCATACAGCAGTGGTTGATAGTGGTTGGTTGGCAGACTCAGAATCTTCCTGAAATGAACCGCCAACGACAGCCGGAAAAGGCGTGAACGGCCGCACAGCTTGGAGGTCGCCACCGCTGCTATCATCTTTCGGACGTTTTCTATCCTCCGGCACAGGGTAACAAGCGGAAAAAAAGCTAGAGCCAATAGTCAGCGAAGTCGGACGCTGCTTGGTGAAGTCTGGCACACCATCACAGCAGACATCACCAAAAAAAAAGCTGAATTGCAGTGGCCGCACCCACAAAAGCATCACGCCGTGCCTCGCCGCTGGATCCTTGCACGACTTTAGCACCCGGTCCTGCAGCGCTGCGGCTGGGCTCGAGACCCTCCATCTCCGCAGTGAGCCCCTGTCAATCTTCGTGCCTTCTGGGCGAGGAGGCTGCGCAGCTTCGACCTCTCCAGGAACTGAAGGCCGAGCTCCACCTCGGAACCGCTCTGTCTTGCCGGTACACTTGCCGGAAACACCGGGTATTGGAAACCATGGCTGCTATGATTCACTGCAGTGCAAGGAAATGCACTCAAGGGCAACAGAGAAGTGACGGGGGGTGTTCCTGTCCGGGTCCTGTCGCGCAGGATACTTTTTTTTGACTGAACACACAGCGAAGCTGATACTGAAAGGTTGCAACTAACGATGAGCTTTACAGCTCCTGGCACACCGAACCCAACTCGCCTCCCTCGCATGCATGTTCAGTGCAAGCCCACAGCGACACCGCCAACCCTTCCCTAAACCGTAAAAACAGAAATCATGCGTCCAATGCACACCGAGGGAAACTAAATCCACAGAGGATTTCGGGCAAGGTCGCCCGAGTAGTTGCTACTTGCTGCCGGCGTAAGACTTGGCCTACGTTCCTTTCCGCATAAACAAGGCCGGTGGTCTTTGTTTCGTTGTTGCAAACATCTGGGAATCACCCATCGACTTTGGCGTGTCTGCAGGTCCGAAGTGTGCTTCGTCCCCCGAAATCTCCAACATTGAGGCTGCTTCCGACAGGCAAGGTTCAGCCCAACACAAGTCAGGAAGTCCGGCCGCCTGCTCATCATTCAACTGGAGATCCGTAACGAAATTCTTCAAGTCCGTCTTGTCCTCCAATGCTCACACATTCCGAGAGAGATTTACAGAACGTTCGCAGGCAGATCTAGATTCTCTACCTAGGCGGCTTCTGAGCCCTTCTTTGCAACCCATCTGTCCGAATGGGGAATGAGATTCAAGCTCTCGCGCTGTGACAGGCCCACTCCTTTTCCGTCGTGCCCGTGGCTTTAAGCCGCAGCGCCGCAGACTGCCAAACAGAGAAACTGCTTCAAAAGACGCTTTGAGGGACCTTGAGGGAGACCGTTTCACAGTGCTTGTAAGTCCGCCAGGGATCTTCTGCAAAGACGACAAAAACCGACCAGACCCAGCTCTGAAACCTAAGGCGTGTACATCCTCAGATGATTCTCGTGCCCGGCCGCACGAGCGTATTTACATGCTGCATCGTCTTTTGCACGAGGCGATGATCGCCGCGCTGAAGGGTGCCCCCAGGCAGCAAGTATGAAGCTGAACGGAGCGGCGACCGGGAACCTGTTGCCCTTTGGCGGCTTCCACTGCTTAGTACCGACTAAGTCTAAGTTCATGGAAACCCTACGAGTAACCTGAATCCGAATGAGGAAGGAGGACTGGGGCCCTGGCGTCCCAGGCACTCCCACTGCCGCCACTCGGCGGAGGCCTGAAATAGATGTCGAACTACGACAGGATGTCGGCTCTCACAACTTAGGACTTAGGGCTGTCTCCTCAGCATACTTCCACCACCAAGGGGAGGCTGTCTCCTCAGCATACTTCCACCACCGAGGGGAGGCAAGGGGCATGGAACAGTTCACGCAGAATCTAGATGAAATCTTCTCTTATGTCGTGCTGGACTAACTGTCCGAGCGGGTTTGCCTGGCTAGCTCCAAAGCAGATTCACCATGCTCTGAAGTGCAAACTGTCCATAGATCCGAGGAAACAGCGTGAATTCTTTGCTACGTCTGCAGCCGCCAACTACGGTCCCCAACAGGCAGGTGAGGTTGTTCTTTCACTCTGCTCCCCAAGAGTTCAGTACTACTCGGAAGAAATTGCAGGGGGACGGTTGAGACTGTCACACGGTGAGAGGTGTCAATGATCTGATGCTGAGGTCCGTTGTTGTTGATAGTCCCAGCATGAACACCTGCTAGTTTGTCTGCTAGCTCCAGAGCCCGTGCAGCTACTAGGCTCGTGCTTCCCTTCCAGCTCGCAGTGCCTTCTGCAGCGTCCACGTCCGTTCAAGCCAATCCATGGAATGGAACCCTCAAAGCGAAAGCTTCCGTCCCGAAAAGCTGAGTTTCGAAAAAAATGGTGCGCGCCCGATGTCGCAAGCCCTAGACCCCAAGTACATGAAAGGAAAAGCTCCAAGACTTTTAGAGAAGCATGTTGTGAGCAACTAGACGTCAAACTCAAACCCGTCAGGATGCACCTAGACGGAGCCGAGGGCGTCGGAGCCGCCTGCCAAGACACAAACTTCCGTACAACGCGTGCCACAACATGATGGATTCCTCTGGATAATAAGTCGACATGCAGCTTCTTCCAAGCCGCAAATAAATCTTGGTTCAGCCGGCTGGCATGAGTAACTCCGACGTCAGCAGCAAACTCGCTGGATCCCACAAAACAAAAGCTCTTGATCCTGAAATCCTCCACTTCACTTTGGAAACTCAAACCTCAAAGCGCCAAGCCAAATGCCCCCTGAAACCTCACCGCGTAGCTCTCCCATGCAACACGGCAACTGCAGGCCACAACTTCCATACTCTGACGACAGACTGAAGGAACAGGCGGACAAGCTGGCCTGGGCTGAAGAAGACTCTTTCCTTGGAGCCGAGTTGCGCAGTGAAAGTGCATGCTGTGCTCAGGCGAGCCAAGGAGCTCCCCAGCTTCACTCCCAAAACAAACCCTGAACCCAAAGCCCCGCATGAATGGAAGCCCCGAACCCAAAGCAGAGCCCACAGCATCCCTGAAAGCCTTTACCGAACCTGTCAACCTGAAACCTGCACCCCCTTCAACTGCGGGCTCGGGATCCACGGTCGCGGCTCTGCAGGCGTCGTTTGCTTCGTTGCCTTCGCGGGCTTCGTCGCAGAAGGGATACCGAGAAGAGTAATACGAAGGATTAGACTCACAAGCATGCATAATCATGCATACCGGCACAGATACTCTGAACAATCGCGGCAAACTTAATCAAGATCACCAAGCACAAAGGCAGCACTGCAAGCGGCAGGAAGGAGGAGGAGACTAATATAATGGCGTAATGCTATACTGATCGTTGCGGCCCCGAGCCTTCCGTGGAGTGTTCTCGCTCTCGATCGCTCTCGCTGAGCTCTCGCAGCTGAGCTCAGGACCGTCTTCTCCTCGTGTTTGCGAAGCTCCTGCAAACTGCGACGAACGCCCGAAAACGCCCCCGGCTAAGGTCGGAAGAAGGCATTCCACCGCGCTTGAGACGGCGACGGCTTCTCGTGCAACTCATATCCCATCGCTGCATGCAGCTGCTAGGGCTGCTACGGGGCGAAGACTTCTGCATGGCTGCAGGAGCTTGTCAAAACACGTTTGCGCATGTCGGAGTCCTCTTGCTTCTTCATCGCTAAATGCTTCTGCAAAGACTCCCGCAGATTCGAAGACTTCCTGGGCCCACGACTTGAACGCTCTTCAGCTTTCGAAGCATACGCGACGCTTCGCAAGTCAGCGGAGGTAGCAGGGGGGTGGGATGCCCGGAATGGTCAAGGCAAGCTGCGCGCCAGCGATGTTCCATCGAACAGGTGGGTTGAAGGCCTGCCAACAGCTAGCAGCTAGCCCTTTGCTGGTCCACCCCTCGGACCTCTTCTGCGAAGAAAGTCTGCACCCGCGAAGATCGTCCACTCTGTACCATGACCCTAGGATGAAGGTCAAGCTCTGAAGTCTCTGCCTGGGCTGAAACTGAGAGGCCATGAAAGCTGTTGAAATCGCGAAGTTTTGATGACCAGCGCACGAGAGCAGTGTCCGGGGCGTGGCTTGTGCCTGTGCCCTCCTTAGAACGATCTCCTACACAATACGGCTAGGTTACTGCAGGGTTTGGTAGCTGGGAGCTGGGGGGCTAGGCATTTCTTGTTGCTGATAGGGTTTGGGATGCGCATGGCTGGGCTAGGTATGAATGCGCAGAGCCCTGCTGCCCGCGGGTGAGACTTGTGAACGTGTTCAGCCACTGCAGCCTCTCCTGGCGAGGGAGGGCTTGTCTCAGAACCCTACACTATGGATACCGGCAGCAGCACAAGGCCACAGTCCAATCACATCAGAAACCACGATGCAGAACGAGCGTTGTCGCGTTTCTGCATGCGTCTGCCTTACGACTTCGCTTGGAGCGACGTGTTCCTTGCCAGGTCTGTCCTCCTCAGGCACGCGGGAGGGCCCCGCTGGAGGCGCTGCGCCGGGAGAGGCCTGGCGGCAGCGCAGGAGGTGCGCGCAGGAGGTGCGCGCAGAGTGTCTGCAGATCTCGCCTCCGGCTTCGCTTGCCGGCAGGTCGAAACGGATGGTGTTGTAGCCATCCTGCAGTCCAGACTCCAGACAGTCCAGAGGCCACATTTTCTGGAAAAGAGTGCGTGGTGTCTGTGCGCCTCGGCACCCGGTTCGGGCATCATGGCAGGTGGCCTAGGCAACAGCAAAGAAGCCACAGAGCCAGAGCACAGTCTCCAAACTGTTTTGCATTCGCAAGCAGGAATCCTAAGCCTGAACCGGTGGAAAATCAAGCATGGCAGCCGTCTATGCGAGAGCATCTTGTGCTGGAACCGCTTCAAAGCACCGAAGGCTCTGGCACCGGCTGTATCATGTCTACCTGCGCAGGCGCACATGGATCTGTTTGCCTTTGACTACAGAGTCTTGGACAAGCTACAGTAGAAGCCACTTCGCAGCTAAAGCAACGTGGAGCACATGGTTGCTTCAGATAGTGTAACCAAGACCTCGCAACAAAAGCTAGGCACGATATGCAGGCATCTGAAACCCACCTGCGCCATCCGAGCAGACGGCCTGTCTGGTAGGTCCATCGTGCGCTGGCACAGAAACTTCTTGAATACGCTTCCGCCCCTGCAGCACTTTCGCCGCGCCTTTGGCTTCCTTGGCTTCCTTGGCTCCTCTGCTCCTGCATCTCCGGAAGCCTGCCCGCTGCGTGCAGCCAGTATCAGCATGTGTTGGAATACAGTGTAACAAAGGCAAAACGGATCGAAAACATCTCTGCCAGGCCTTTGGCTTCCTTCTGGCAGGGCAGAAGCCAACCTTGGTCCAAGGCATTTCAAAGCAAAGTTCATCGTTGCCTTGAGATATGTTTTTCTGGATGCGACTCCTGCTGTGGATTGACGAACAATCACATTTCGCCTGGTTCGTCACCTAGTCAATGTAGAGAACAGCTGATCTATTGGAATGACAGGCAGGGGACACTATCGTACCACCTCTCACTTACGAGCGACTGCATTGTTTGCTTACAGCAACCTTTCGGGCTTAAGGGAACGTAACTCTTTGGAGATATGCCCCAGCAACTTCGACAAGCCATCGTTTGTTTGGCAACACCGATGAACCAGCAACGACCTCCTGGGATCCCTGACGCCTCGCGCTGTAGCGCGACAGGCCTGGGCGACGTCATGCCAGCCAAGCAAGCGTGCCACTAAGAATTCGATATGCTTCTGGTCAAAGCTGTCTTTCGATCCTAAGAGAGCAGATTGAAAAATCCAGGATATGCCTCTCATGGCACTGACGCCAACTTCTGCAAACTGCCCGGAACCATTGCTGGCTGGTCCCGTTGTAATGCAATCACCGACCCTACATGCACAACGATGCCGACCTTGACAGCATGAGCCCAGAGGTACACGTGGTGTTTTCAACCATCAAGGCAGCTCGGGCCCATGTGGAATCTTGAAACTCCAGGTTGTTAAACTCTGGCCGTTTTCTTGAAGCCAAGCCAAGGCACTCTGCGAATTCCTCAGGCACGGTGAAGGTGCGCTTGCCAGCAGGCATCAACCTCTGTCTGCCGCTGCAAGACATGAACGGCATCGCATGCACAGAAGGAACAGAAGGGGCCCTTTCCCCCCAGTTGCAGGGGCCCCCTGCGATCTCGAGCCGCGCAGATTCGGCCTTGCAGGGCTTCAACTCAAAAGGAATGAAGAGGGCTTCGTCAGGAGTGTGCATCACAGGGAGATGCCCTCGACGGTTCCGGGCGTGTCGAACTTTGCTTTCAAAGCTCGTCCCAAGAGTTACCATGCTTTGGCCAAAGTGCTGGGTAAGTCGCTAGAACCGCTTCGCGCGCTGCTTACGAAAGACACACATGCAGGGGAAACGTCATTGATTCTAGGAGAACCTCAGACGAACTGCACGCCTGACAGAAGGACAATGTCTGAGCCGAGTGCATGCTGGTAGCACCACGCTGGCTGCGCAGCATGGGATGCCTCTGCGCCTGCAAAGCTTTGGCCACTCAGGGCGATTAAACAACACCACCTGGCGATGGTTCGTCGAAGCATTCTGTGATTCCTGCAATCTGGATCAGAAAAGTTTGCACACCCCGCGAAATCTGGTATTGCCATAATATTGCCTTCAGGATCCTTCAGGGTTTAATTCGTTCAGATGCTGGCTGTTGGTAGCTCGGAGCCGAAGGGTCGCAGGTTGGTTGCAGTTCCTTTCTGTGTTGACGTCGTCGGGTCACTCGCACATCATCGACCGGACTCAAATCTACAACATAAGCCTTGCGACCAGAGGCACTGCCATGCTCCAGCTCAAACCTGATCTGAGATTTTGTAGGCCCTGCAATGCTGCTGTCCCCGGCCTCGAAGGTGGGCAGCGGCTGCGGCCGCGCATTGCCGTCGAGCATGGGGTAGCGCGGGTTCAGCGGGTTCACGCCTGGGAAAGGCTTGCACTCCTTGCGGCTGAGATTTGGCAGCGAAAAGGTTAAGAAACGAGCAGAATTCTTTCGCATTGAGGACCCCGCTGCGCCGGCTGCCCTCAATGCCCTTCTTGAGCGTGCCGACCTGCTCAGAAGGCGCGCTTCAGACCACAGGAGGCCCACACAGGAGGCCTCAAGAAGAAGGGGCGGCCCAGCCTGGGCTCCTGGGATGTCATGCGGGTCGTGGTGCGTGATCATCGGCCTCGGAGGCGGAGCTTCGGCAGAGGCGGAGAGAAGCGCGCTTCCCTTGCCCCGCCTCATCTCTGGTGCGTCGTAGATGTTCGCAGGGATGGTTCCAACCTCTGCAACACTACTTCGTCTGGATCTAGGATTCTATCTTCTGTGAGGAGCATGGAATGGGGTAGCAGCTTGGGCCATGCATTCATGGCCAATGTTACATGGCTGCTAAGTCTAAGTGCGACATGGCATCACACCGGACGGACTCAACTCCTGAAACCCGCTCTGAGATGCCGGACCCAGCGCTGCGGCAAAGCACCAGCGATGTCCTGCATCGGAGTATCGTGGGAAATGGGAAACAATTCATCTGCAATACGCGGATGGCATGCTAGCAGCTCTGTGCGTGCATGTGCCATGATATTGCTGTTTGTGTGATGTGTTTATCGTCGTCTTCTTTGAACGGAAGTAAGGCTGCCAAGAGCCAAGCTCGCTATTGTAAAGGAGCTCTGGGTGAGGGCCATACGCTGATCTGAAATGTGGCTAAAGTGTGGGAGTGCGAGAAGTGCACTCCGAGGTGGATGCAGAGGCCTACAGCCTGCAAGCACGCCAACTTCATGCGTCAGTCTTGCAGCTCCATGAACCTTCTACTCGTTGCGTAGGCTTGCAAAACGCCATGTCATTCGCACACACTAAAGATCTTCTTCAGATAAGTGTTGATGCTCGCGAGCAGTGATGCTGTAGCTTGCCGAGACTTGTTAGCTGGTGTAAGGCATGATGCATGCTGTCCGTCTACAGACTCCATGTCAAAACACAAACAGTCGCACGGTCGTGTTGCCTGTTGCGCTGGCAGAGAGCACGGAACGAAACCCCCGTGAGGTCAAGGGGCCCTGCGCTTGGGGCTGGGAAGAAGCAGGTATTTCCCCAAACGCAAGCAGCTCTACCGACCGGAGCTTCTTCCCCCTGTTTTCAAAACCTACATCTGCACACGATAACGAATTAGTCAGAGCTCACTGCGCGGAGTTCCCGTGCACGGATGTCCGTTGCACAGAACAGGCATAGGTATTCGCCAGTCCTCAATCTCCCGCTCGTAATTCATCTCTTTCAGGACAATGTCAGCTGAAGCATAAATCATAGTCAAGCCGATTCGGCGCGTGGGGCTGATGTTGCGTCCGGATCGATGAGCAGTGCGGCTATCGAACATAGCATACCTTCGCATCTGTTACGGTCGTTTCTGTATTAAGCAGAAAAGAAGATCTTCAATTGTCGAGCCTTAATCAAGAACTAAATGATTTCCTATGTTGGCTGAGCGTTGCTGGCCAGCAGTCAGCTCGAGGAACTGACTTTCTGCTGGCAGACTTTCCGGGACGATACTCTGAGCATCGAAAAGAGCTGAACAATCGTCATAGTGTTTGACGTGAGGCAGTGCTGTTAGATGTGTGGAAGGAAACATCTGCATGGCACCGTTGTCTTTGGTGGCATTGTCGATCGCGATCCACACACTCGCAACAAGAGCAGAATCTGGCTCCAAACCCCAATACTGCCGGTCCTGATGTGTTCCTATTACTGTGAGGCAAGTCGGCTGGTTTACGCCTCGCGCGGCCTTAGGGTACTTTGCAAAAAGCGCGGTACCCAGGAGGAGGACATCAGGGCCGACGACTTTCTGAATCGCCTCCAAAACCTCCCGATCCGTCACCGC